TACTCGCAGGGTCGTACACCGCGAATGAGGCGATCCAGGAAACCGTCTAGAGTTTCCGCTGGTTCCTGTGTAAGTCGGCCGAATTTGAGGCGAGCCATGAAGAGGTTTGTACGCTGTCCCCATGACTTGTCCAGCACCTCTAGTGCTTTTGTTAAGGTATCTTATGACTGGAGATCCAAAGCATCAAATTGACGTTGTCCCTCATCCCCGAGTGGGTGTCTGAGAAGCTACAATTTCTGGCCTTCAGTGTAGTTAGAATCCGCCCGTAGTTGGTCAAGATAGTTGGTAAACGAGGTTTTCTACTGGGCCCATGTACTTTTTTTAGGAAGTAAGGTCGGATCAGACCAGTAAACTGTAGGAGGATGTAATTCCATGGCGTATGTTCGTAAGCCACGACGCCAGTGTTGTATACGAAAGGTCAAATGCACGAGCAAGTTAAAAGGTCATTCTGATAAACGAACTGCTGTAATCTGATCAATGTCTAACTGGTTGAGTACATAAAGGTGTCGCAAGGAGAAAGATGAACCAGTGGGAAAGCAGAGAATTAGACGCTTTGTGTGTGTGTGTGTGTGTGTGTGTGTGTGTGTCTGGAGTTGTGTGCACGTGTCTGTTTAGACTAGCCGTCAAGAATGCTGACAGAATACACAACACAGAGGTATTAGACAAACTCTCTGGTAGTGACCCCAAGACAGTACGATTTATGCATCAAATTGGCCATCAGACACGCTTTTACTCCGCAATATGTATCCTATAGGATAAACTGGAACCAAATCCAACAATTTATCTGATCATCCGATTGAGACGCATTCTTCCTCACTAACAATGTGTGCAATGCCATAGACTATTTCTACCATCAGGTCTATCAGGCCATTGCTGTCCTTATTCCCCAAGGGGAGGGGATCACAGGTGTCCAAAAAGACGCAATCGTGCGTTCAGTCAGTCGGAAACACAGAAGACTAATTGCTGGATACAGATTGACGGGCAATTTCACCTTGCGCTTACAGTTGCACAACATCCTTGACAGGGTCAAGCACATGCAGTTGACGAAAAGGATACACGAAGAACAAATGGCTCCATGAACGACATGTAAAACCAAGGAACCTGTTAAAATTCTGACTCGCAGAGCTAATAACCACTCCACTTTGATCGTTGGACTGGTTAATGCAGACGGACAGTCCCTTCATGATCCAGCCAGCATTTTCGAAGCGTTTAGGTCATCTTTCGCTATCTTCATGTGCCTGGAGACGATTCCCTTAAATGTAAGCAATGGGGTGCAAACAACCCAACCCTTTGTAACATTGAATTTTCTATCACTGCTATCCAACATTTAATGAATTCTACTAAACCGTCTTCCCATCTGGATTCCGATGGTATCCCACCTACCGTCATTAAACTGGATGGACCTGATATGCCGTTACTATTCTGAACATATTTACCCTTTCGTTGGAATCAAGCTACTTTCCAGACCAGTGGGAAACAACACTCATTATCCCTGTCACGAGGGTGGCTCCAAACAAGAAATTAACAATTACCGGCCAATCCATCACACCCCTGTAGTAGCCAGAATATTAGAGAAACTGGTTAAGAATGGTGTGATGAAATTCATCAATTCGCTGGAGATAATAGACAGGTCCCTGGATGATTCCTTGGATAAACGCTCGTACATAACCTGCCAGTTGCATTCTCTAAACCATGTTTCGGATTCTATTGACTTAGGATACACAATCATACTTATATTTTTAGACATGGAAAAGGCATTCGATCGAGTGCCCATAAACGGCTGCTGAAAAAGATTGCTTCCTTTGGAATTCAGGACCAATTCCTAGGCTAGCTATTTTTATTCCTGAGCGGTCGTTCTCAGGTAGTTACCATAGCCGACCACCACTCGTCACCATGTCCAATCCCTAGTGTTGTTATTCAAGGGAGTCTACATGGTCCGTTATTGTACTTTCTCTAGGTCAATGACGTCAGTGCGGTAGTCATGGCATGCCTTTCCTGTTTGCAAATGACATAGTGATAGTCTAGAAATTCCGACGAGCTGAACTTCAGGATACACTACTGCTCATACGGGAAAACCTCCACTCCCTTGAGAAGTGGTGTGACACCGAGATGATGAAGTTCTCTGTGAAAATATCTAGCATCGCATATCGCTGCTGTTCGATGCCCGAGGGATCAATTACACTCAACGGCGAACACTTGGTGTACAGCTGCCTAACCGCGACCTCTGAATCAGGTATTCTTGCACCTTCAACTTTTCTGAACAAGTGGAATACCAGCTGTCTAGGGCCAGAAACGCAAGAGCTAATATATTACATAAGATCCACATAACCCCAGCCAAAGTAGAACTCTGCAAAATCCCCACTCGCTCCATTTGGGAATACTGCAGTATCATTCGTGACAGCATGAGGAAATCTGACAGAGTATCACTGCAAAGCAAACAAAGGTCATTTACCAAACGTCTGCTAAGCAAAACATTCACTAAGAACTATTGGGAGCGTGGCCAACAATTCCAGCTCGATCCGCCTTGGCTACGAAAATTGAGACATGACCTGATGCCTCCGTCCAGCATGATTCATCAAAACGTCCACTGTTATTTGCCCTTTCTAGAACTACAATATAGTTCTACAAGAGAGCTATGCAATAAGGAGTTTACCATGTGTGTATCCACCAGCAGGGTAAATCTACAGTCTAACATTTTCCTTATCAGATATGCTATCCTGTAGAACAATTTCCCAGTCACAATCAGATCGCCTGAGAGCGCAACCGCCTTTCGTGTTAAGATCACCAATTACCTAGATTTGAACACGTATATGACTGTGTTCTCTTAGGAGAGGTCAGTTAATGATATGTACCAAGAAGGGCCGGACGACATACAATGAGTAAAAAATGTTCATACTGTGACACCCCTAGTGCTGTTACCATCCACGATTCGAAATAGTGCCCATTGCGTTGAAACATACCTGTGAGTTAATACAAACCCCTGAAACAGCAAAAGCAATGAAAATCACATGCATGAGATATTCTGTAAAATATGCTCTATGTCAAATATGGCCATGGTTTCACACTCGATGAGAAAGATATCTATCATTATTATTACTATTATTATTATTATACTGTTGGCCGCATCCGATTTCGGATTTTCCCATCATTGTGGCCTCCACAGAACAACCACAGGACGCCTGCGCCTACAGAGAGACAATGGATGACTTTCGTTGTACTATCCACAGCTCCATCCACACACCCCATATCTAGTGTAAACCCGAAGGAATAAGACCAGGAGGCATGTGGATGGGAGCCAAGTTTCATCAACGGAGCCGGCCCACACTCCTTCACAGGCAAACACAAGCACGCTGTATTTGGGAATCAACCGTACACCGTAGTCTGATCCACACATAAACCATGTGCATAGAACCACTTTTTGAACCTGACACAGTCACAATGACCATGCGCCCCGTCCTCTCCAGCAACGACCAGCTATCTCCTGGAGCTAGTATAGACGAACTAGTGGGTAATAGATAGGTAGGCACCTCGTCAACATGCACATCAAGCGCGGCCACACCGGAGATGTCAAACAATAGTCAAGCACTAGAAACGACGATATCAAATAAAATATATCGGATATAGTAAAAGGATCTGACAATACCAATACTCGCTAAATGAGCATTTGGAGTAAATTAGTTATCAGCAAATCCGCAATACGTACAAAATGTCAGCGTTGTTTTAAAAAATGCTACGTGATAAAGTTACGCAAGTTTACCACAATTGGCATAAGCGACATGTGCAAGTTAGTAGAATATTATCAGGTACGCAGAACAAAGCAAACAAAGTGGTATGAATTCTATCCACATTGAAAAACCCTAGTTTAAGTGTAAGTTGGTTTAGTCCAATTGCGGCGAAGAAGCATCATGAATACAACATCAGCCTCAGCGTGGGGCACTATACATATATATATATATATATATATATATATATATATATATATATATAAAACAATCTTTGACATAGACATTGTGCCGTCAGAGTCATGGCGAAGTAGGAGAGCAGCATCGGCAGGTGACTGAGGGGTTTTCACCCCTAGCTTGCAATCATAAGTTCACCGGTTCCAATCTGAGTAGGGGCGGACGTCCTCGAGGTAGACTCCTCAGCTCACGCGCGGCCGGTGTTGGTTGCGCAACAGCGAAACTCCATTACGGCGTACAGTTGACACATTATCTTTCGATCGGAATACGAAGGAGAGAGAAACGGGCAAGTATTTTGTCCAATTTTCCACTCACGGTTTTAAGGCTTTTTAACTGTTTTATTGGGAGAGGGAAGGGGAATCACCGTGCCTCGCAGTGTCACACGTCCGTCAAGATGTCGGCCTTGAACGATTACTTCCGGGGTCTCCAACCAGTGACACTGTGTCTCTGAGATCCCAACCAGGGAGTCATGAACAACCGACCGAAGCCAATTGTTCCATCTGCTTTTCATGCCGCTTCTCCAGGGCTTGGGCTGTTCACCGCACCGCCTGTACAGCAACCGCGAACAATGCAAGACGCGGAAGACATTGAACGGGCATGGACGTATCCAAACCGACTCAATTGACGCATTGAGACAAACCCCTCGAGCGACTGGCTTTCTGCATCCAAGACGCGTTGTCTATTTTCCACACAGCTTAAGTGGTGCAGCCACCGCACACGGACAATGGACCGCAAGCAGTACAGCGCGGACAAGCACACAATAAATCCGCCCTTTGACAGAGAGACGGCTGTCATGACGACGCCACTAATGCCTCCGTTTGGAGAAAGCGCGACGAGCTCTTGTGATACGAATCGAAATTTAATCTCCAACTACCTTACCAGCCCTGATGCAACTTCCCGGGTAGACAGAACTATCCACAACCTCCCGTGTTTCAGGCGTGGGTGCAGGCGTCTGCCAGTCTCGAACAAGTTTTGGCACTTGGATGAAGAAAATAATAAAAATAATTGTTTGTTTTAAGATACGGGACAATAAACGCTTTTATAAAGAGGATCATTTTATTTTTGTTTAATTCTTATTTGCATGTTCGCGCTGCAGACTGGTGGTAAGTTACCCTGGAGGACGCCGTGAATACGAAAGCAGCGCGCACAGTTTTAATTGATAAGCCAACTATTCGGAACCATACGTGCGATTAGTCAGCATACTGATGAGACTAGGTCCTTCTAAGCCAATCGCATTAGATACTTCCTAGAGAATTCGCAGTGAGGAGCTGTTGTCAAGTGAGCATGTTGGGCTTACAAAATCTTAAGTTTGAACTGCGAATCATAAGTTTTTACAAATGGGCTATCCACAATTTCTCCTCTCGAACTCGTGCATACTAGGATAAACAAACACATCCTCATCGAAGCTTACAGGAGGAGGTTCGTCATCGTCATCATCCAGGTCAAAATCAGACATCTGGTGACTCATGCGCATGAGAACCGACGCAATGTGTTGTCGGCTCAAAGTATCAGGCGACACCCGACCATTGTTTTGAGGCAGATGACCAGAAACCGGCGCGGTGGATCCAATCGATTTGTCGGAAGTCCAAAGCAGCAGTCTCCGGAACATTGCCTCGCGTATCAAACCCTCGGAAGAATCATTTGTGTGCGCCATCACTGCCAGAGCGACATGGTGAGACGAAACTTCGCAGCCGAATGAAATATTCATCAATACGGCCTTGTGCAAATCGGAAAAGTATGGGCGTATAATCTCCGGAACATTATCTGTGGTCAGCTTTACTGCTGAGTAGATAGTGCAAGGGTCCTCTTGTAGCTCGTTGGTGATGTTATTCTTCGCATACAACTGCACGATCACATGACCACCTAACGTACCCAAGGCAACAATCATTGACACCTTATGGAGACCTCCAGACTCGAAGGTGTATATAGGGGAAATGTCAAACTCCGCGCGTGAACGAATGTTGGGTGGTGTTCTAATCAGGATATCGCGCATCCGAAGGTCCTTGGTATGTATAACTTCACTGAAGATATCGAATGGGTACTCATATTTTAGACGGATAGTCAAATTCCGAGTAATTGGGTCAATCTGTTCTCCACGCCGCAGATCTATTTCATCCAGCATGTTCGAATCAACTGTCAAAATACATTGAGCTATCAGGTGTGTGTACTTAGGTCTGGGTCTATCCATGCTGACAGTGAAAATTGCAAGATTTGAATTTATGGTTGCTAGTCTCCCTACTGGCAGCTGTTTGCTTGTCCTACCTCTATCGGCTGATTCAGCCGTCAGGCGGAGTTGCAAGCTAGTTAAACCTGGCCAGCCAGGAAAGGGATCTGAACGACAATAAACATATCCTACTTGTCCATGCAACAGTTCATTTTCCGACTGCTGTTCCTCCCAGCTGTCCTCCTTGTCTACTGAGAGCTTCACTTGTGAGTAGTACATCGACATCGACCACACCGTCGGAAGCACCAGTAGACGTCTAGCGTATCCTAGCATTTGCCTTGGACAACCAACTTTACAAGCGGACATGCTACAGTGATAGGTGCCTGTGTCGCCCGCCTTTGCTGGACTCGGTGACTTGTACGCCACCACTGCGGTAACATAAGCGTACCACACTTGTTGAGGCTTTTGACCGTCTGCTGAAGTCCGGAAACAGTGCAAATGTTTATCGTGCTGTGGTGGCAATAACATACTCCAGTATTGGCCTACCTTAACCGAGGCTGTCCATCCACTTCGTACTCGTTGAATGCGACACACAATTAAGGTGGGCTGTTCATATTGGAGCATCGTCCCATAGTCCTTGTTCCGAGGATTTTTCATCCAGAATTTGATTCTATTTCCCATTGTCTTCATGACCTCCGTTCGCAAATCGGTTGAGCTTGGAGTGGCAGGTTGAATAACGCAAATCATTAAGGACACTGTTTCCGCCCGGATGGAACATGTGTACGTAACGTTCGACCAGCTGAGCCTGGAGTCGAAATTCTCCTTTACTACAAAATCACTTTCCCACTGCACCAAATGGTTTGATACCTGGGGGCAAATTTCTGCAGAAGTCGTATGTGTTTTCGAATCCGCAGTGTGGGTACACATAAAAGTGGATCCCTCTGGTTTGCCCAAATGCAGCACAAAGGATAAATTTGCTGTTTGTTCTAGGAGATGTTTGCGTGGCCCTGACGCGTGAAAATCCACTGCTCGCCACTTCCACTGTCCAGCGTGGATAAAATTGTCAAAGAGCCGAGGAGTAGTTGAATATTCGTGACCTTGTAGAAGCACCGGATGAGTTCGATCACCTGTAGCGACCGACCGGATGTTCATGTTTGCAATTCTATGGGAAGTTGTAGTTTGAATTGTGTCATTCAAGAACATATAACCCACCTGAGTTAGGTTCGCCCCACTGTATTGGTTGAACAAAGAACCGACCGTAATCTGATATTGTTCTGTCAATTCCGGTTTGTTGATATCCTCGCGCACTGCGTTAAACACGTTCAGGATGAGGGCTCTTGTGAGGGGTCTCAGCACACATGAAAATTGATAGCTCCACATTCGATTGTATACAGGACGTCGGAACCCTCCATGATTGACCCTACTGAACCGATGCTTTACTGTTAACGCGGTCCCAGATGTAATGCAGTCCTCATGGCCGTTGTCAGAAATAGTCCATACATGAGCCCAACCACCTGGGTCCAAATGAATGGCGGCGAACTCACCAGTTACAGTGGCAGTAACAAGTGGCATGGCAATCCTATTGGCGAGTAGTGCAATTATGCGGCGAGATGCGGCGCGTTCGCTTCTGAGTGATTTGGTCAGTTCTGTCATATTAGTTTGGATTTGTGCGGTGATGATTTGCGGCTGAATGCTGTTTGTGTAGAATAACCTGCGTTGACTGCGAATCGCGCGATCGCCTGTAAAGGAAAATATGTCGGCACGCACCATCCCAACCTTTGGTTTGTACTCGAAGATACAGCTAAGTGTGTGTTCGTTCATCGTTTCACCCACAGGCGATGGATTAATTGAGTAAACAGTCGTAATGTGCTTCATCTCACCTTCGAGGCGTTCCTCCTTTCGGATCAGCTGAACCTTTTCGAAGTCATCTTCACGTGTGAGCGCATCTACCAAGTCGACACCATCGTAATTATCATATGACGCGGACAAGTTGAAAGAGCATACGACCAACGGTGCCACTTCAGTGAACAAAAGTACTTCATTCACCTGTGACCTGGCTTTCTCAGCCGGTTCCGTAGTGTTCAGCTCGGCCATGGTTCTGATAAATCTCAGGTGTACGTCACCGCGTCCGGGTAAAACTATAACCCAGTGATCACGGATTAAAGTATTTCTATGGTGCGCTACAGTGCATGTGTACATGCCGCTGTCGAGAACGGTAGCGTTAGACAACACAAGCCCTTCGAGGCCAGACGAATACTTTAGCCTGTGTGCCACCTCAGATCCACTGCCAAGTGTTCTGACTCTGCGACATGTAACGGATAAGTTCGACTTCAAGGACAGTGGAATCCGTACATGTTCGTTTATACGCAATACGGTGTATGGGACGGCGTTCACTCTGACGGCTCGTATACCAGGTGACGTAAAGCACGTCCACTGGAATGTTGCCGACTTGTTATTCCTCACAATCCATTCATACATCAAAGTGAAGAGCATGTCTTCACCTTCGTGGCAACAGTCACAAGCTATGATAACCAGCGCGCGATGTTTTCGTTCGATTGTAATCTTGAATTCATGTTGACGCATGTGGGATACGTAGTCACTGACTAGTTGGATGCGTTCCGTGAAGTATTGAACTACAGGCTGCATACCGACCGATCTTATTGGTTCCTCAATAGAAACATCAAATTTACCACTAGCCTCGTCGTATCCGAACACATACACTCGAGTTGCCTGAGTCGGTACATTCGTGAATGAGCGGACGCTCAACAACAGGGGTTCGTCCGCATTCAGCTGAACTTCATGGTCGAGGAAGGTGTCATAGGTTAACGTGTGTGTTTCCACTTTGGAAATCGCATGAGCTATATTGTCCATAGATGCGGCGTGGCCAACTCGAGCGAGTTCAGGGCAAACCAAACGGTCCAAGTTACTAGGCCAAGAGAAGAAATAACGTCTCCAACCAGCAGGTGTAAACACGAAGGCATTCACAATCGACCGCTTCCAGTTAGGACGTCTGGCTCCCCTGGATTGATAAACAAAGTGATACTCATGGGTAAGAAATTCCAAGTTAAACACTCGCTGTTCACACTGCTCACTCTCATTCAGCTGGTCTAACCCCGTGTTCTGGATGCAGCATTCTCCAGGACCAGGAGGTCCTAGTGCGCACTCGAAGTACACCTCACCAGTTTGTAGGTCATGGATCTTAAAGTAAGACACTTTGGCTGTGTGCTTTAAACGCCATCTAATAAATGTTTCATTGATAGGCAACGTGTGGTCGAACCAGATTTGGCGATAAGAAGCATTGCTGTTAGGAATATTCGGGTAACTGTCCGGAAATTCATGATAAGGCATCTGATTACATGCAATAGCGCCAAAGCAAGAGTGGATAAGAATGAGCACAGTACACATGCAGGAAATTGTGTTTGACATTCCTGAGAAAAGCCACTTATTATTGCTGCATGCTGATTGGAAGCGCAGTCTCATGCTCAGTTAGTTGAAGTTGTTTCCTCTTTATTGGAATTCACTTTGGGTTTAATTGATTTTGCTAAATATTGACAGGAACACGGATATACAAGAGATGGAAAGACCGGGTGTGGAGGCTCTGCGTTCATTTTCATGGCACTCTATACCAGCTGGGGAAGCGAGGTAAACACGATAATTGACTATGGGAAATCGATGACAGCGCGAGTTAGTCATGTGACACGGAAGCGAGCCGCATGTGCTAGCCTAGCGAAGAGTCAACGATGTGACCACACAGATTAGGCTGGCGAACGCATTGCTCATATATGGTGGATCGCTGGCCGACGCGATCTTGCTGGATAGCTGTCCCAGTGTGCTCGCAGTTGCCCTGGTCAGTTAGCAGCCCGTTGAGCAGTGCCGATAAAAACCATGCTTCCTATCTGACCTCTTACCCCGTTATCGCAAAAGTCGAGTACCTGACCAAAGCGTGACCCTGCTTTTTTCTAATATTCATAATCCATCCTCATTGCTGATCGCATGCTGCCTCAGTATGACGGACGTCATACTAGTTCCCTCTCTTACTTGCCTACCTGAAATTGTTCATCTTAGGTTTCCACACAAAAATCTTTGGATACTTTCTACGTCTTGCACCACTCCGTCAATTTAAAGGTAATAAGATGACGAAAGCCGACAGATGCATGCATTTCGTATTGTATTCTCAGTACCATTAAGAACAACCGATATGTAACTATATACATAACTATAGGTGTAGGTAGAAATTCGTCACATCTAGATGTGAAGGATAAAACGCGAGTACAGTGCTTTTCCGGGCCTATGACGGCTGTCTGAGTGAATCTAGGTGTGATGAATTTCTACCTATACCATTCAACTCCCCCTACTACTCCTATGTAAACTATAGGTGTAACCAAAGAAACTTGAGACGCAAAATGAATGACGGAAATTCCAGCCCTATGTCTATGTTAGCCTTAAGTTCAAGAATAATGGCTTTTGTACACACCGGTTTAGCTTCATCCGGCTTATTGCCACAGCTTCGGCGAAACGGCGTAAGCGAGAATTAGAGTAACGTAACACAATTTCGAACACTGATCCGAGATGTATCCCTTGACGCGTGAACAGTAGGTGACTACCTATTGAGAAGCTGGCTGCCTGCGGGTGCACGAAGATTCAAGGGGGCAGGGATGCTGGTAAATTCCACCTTGAATCCACCTCGGCATGTGTTCCTTTATTCGGGTAGTCAAAGACCGATCAGTACTGCTTATGCAACTGGATCTGCAGTCACACATGAATATGTCGACTGAATTGGTCCCGATCGGTTGAGCCTTTTTCGTTAGAGGAACAGGCAAATTTCGAGTTCGGTTAGTGACCATAACTTCAGCAGCATCGTAACTTTTCTGCGTATCAGAAATAAAACGCTTGGTGGTATTTAGTGTAGGAAAGTCACCCTTGAAAGGCAACTCGAGATAGACCGTGTTGCTCTATGAATCTGTGCGGATAACCATCTGCCATGAGCGTAGTTGCACTTAACTCTAGCTCGTCGACTAGACAATCCGCCTAGCAAATTCGTCTAGCGATACTAAGTGGATTTCTCACAGGTGTACGTTTGTAAAGCACTGGCGTGAAGCTGGTGAAGTGCAGGTATTGGCCGCACCATGTAGCTTTTCTGTAGACGGACCTCTTACTTAGTCCGACATCACTACGAGCGATAAGTATGTTCAAGAACGGTAGGCAGTTCGTCTGCTCCCCTCACGGGTGACCCGCAACTTGGCCTGTGCGCAGTTAAGCTGCTCCATCAACTGCACCATCTGCTGCTCCGAGGAACAAAAGGTCAGCATGTCATCCACAGCGCTTATAGTATGACAGCTTGACTATTTTTGTGGATATGCCACTTTCAATCAACACAGATGTGGCGGGGCCTTTGAGTCGGAGTTATCTATTCCGCCGAACATCATTCTTACCTTACCTACTGTACATATCTCAATATTGCAGGATTACACCGACAGATATTTTGCTAAATCAACTTCCAAGGTCACTGAGTCCTTTTAATACATCCAGCTTTGAATATAGGCGCGAGATATTGCACACGATCCTCGTTTTATTATTGTCTTTAAACACAAAATTCTACGTCAATTGAAATGAATTCTGAAGAAAGATTTTTAGGAAGCCTTTTCCGTTTTCAATGGTTATCAATCTCGAAGATTAAGTCCAGCTTTTGGGGATCGTGGCTCGAACGATCTGTGACACTGCATCCTTATTTTTCTACCCATTTGTAAACCTAATCTTTGCTAAATTTACAGCTGATAATGTAAAATGCCGAAAAAGCACCCTTTTGGGTACAGAAAGCTTATACTGACTTGACGGTACTTGGTAAAGAAGTCGGCGAGTACAGGGCTACCCATTGACACTCCATAGATTTGACAGTATGGCGTATTCTGAAAGTGGTAGCCGAATTTCAGTACACAACAAAAATGATCCTTTTGGAAGTTCGATTCGAATTGATAACAAATAACTATATTGCTCAGCTAGTTCGCACACGTAATGTGTCGGTGTAGCAACAGGTTAGTGACCGGAGATTCCATATCCAATGAACATATGACTTTATCGAGCAGGTTGATTTTAGCCAAGTCATCGATAAGTTGAAAAGAAACCTTAATACTACAAGGATCGGTCAGTTGTCGCAGCGATGATGGATGTTCACTAGCCAGCAAGATAATTTGTGCTGCGGCGCATTTATCATTGATTTCGTTGAGGCGTCATAATCTCATGGTCTTCCACGTACCAGAGTCAAAAGATGAAAACCCTCAGATACGTTATGATCACGATGTTGAGTTCCTCCAGGGGCTCATCAATAGACTCTTGGATGTGGGCGAAGACAGTGTGACGATTAAACAAGTAGTCCGACTTGGCCAGAAAATTAACCAGTCATGTCGACCTCTGAGAATCACCTTTGCAAATCCCAATATGCCGCAGCTCATACTGTCTCGTCTGTCAAGGCTGAAAGGCATAAATGTTCACATCCGCCGAGACTTGGAACCCGAAGACAGGGATCGTTTGAAGACTGCGGTCATTGAGCTCAAACGCCGTACAGAGGAAGGTGAGACTGACTTACAAATTGTAAATTTTCGGATGATCAAAAAGGGTGTACGAACCCGTATCAACCGGTTGCTCAACCTCCAGGCCCTTCCCGCAGTATCTCCCAGGACCTCCATGTGACATTCGCCAACGTGTGCAGCCTAATGAGCAAACGTGACGAACTGTGCCGCTTTGTTGTCTCGGAGCGGCCGGATGTTTTAGGACTTGCAGAGACTTGGCTGAACTCCGACGTCATACCCCAAGAAGTCACCTTGGCAGGAAACTCTTGTTTCGGATGCGACCGAAAATCAAAGTCGCACGGTGGTGTTCTGATGTACATTAAATCGTCACTATCTGGCAAAGTTACCAGCACCTATCGGAGCGAGGATAGTTTATGCGAGTAATTGTGGTGCACAATCCGCCTCAGGCGCGCAGAACTAATAGTGGGTGTTATCTACCGGAGCCCATTAAACAGTTGTTGCAATCGGCAACTACATGTACAGAAGCACATGAGCCGCTCTCAGTTCTTACTGATGGGGGATCTAAATTTACCTAAGATATTTTGGACAGACGTTCGACTTCTTCATGGTCGTGGAAACTTGGAGGCTCAATTCGCTAAAATGACTATTGAAATCGGGGCAACGCAACATGTCATCCAACCGACGCGCGTAACTCCGTACTCGGCATTTTGTCTAGACCTAATGTTTACGAGCTGCGAGCAGAAGCTGAACGAGATCAGGGTCATGGAACCTCTGGCGTACAGTGACCACCACACCATTGTGGCAAACTTAGAGCTGTCGTTACCATATTACAATCAACGGAAGCCGACATTCAACTATTGGAAGACGAACTTCAACGGGCTCGTCCAAGCTGCAAGTCAGACTGATTGGACACTACCACAGGATGTGTCACTTGAAGCCTGTTGGTCATCAATGAAGGGGAAGGTTAACTCGCTCTGTACTCGGTTCGTTCCCCTTACGTCTTCAAAAATCGGACCTGTCAAACCGCATTGGTTTGATACGGAATATAGACAGTTAGCGCGACGGCGTCGCATACTTTGGGAGAGATACATCAGCTCGGGTTTTGATGAAGATTATACGGTGTACAAGAAACAGCGTAAATTATGTAACGCCGCAAAGATCAAGAAACGCCGGCAGTTCGAAGAGGAGCTAGTATCCTCGGCCACAACTGCACCTAAGAGAATATTTGTCTACTTTAAACGTCAACTGAAACCTGGGGGCGGCCTACCGGTCTTAGAGAGCTTAGACGGAAAGACGCGCATTTCAAGCGCGGAGCGCGCGAACACCTTGGTTACGCACTTCCTCACTGTATTTTCCAGTAAACCGGCGGCAGTTTCAGTACAGGCACAGGTTGCACCAGTCTTGCTCAACAGCCTACAATGTAAGACAGTCGAAGTGTATCAGGTACTTGTCAACCTCGCTGGTGCAAAGCCCCTCGAACCAGACGGACGTCCCCACTAATACTCAAGTCCCTATCGATTACCATCGCACCAGCCGTGACAAACCTTTTCAATAAATCGCTCTCTGAAGGATCCGTCCCGAACGACTGGAAATGCTCGATAGTGAGACCGCTTCCCAAGGGTGGTGATCCGAGTAAATTAGAGAACTATAGACCGATCTGTTTGACCTCTGTATTATCCAAAGTGCTCGAGAAGGTTGTGAAAAAGTGTCTGCTATCGTTCTTCGAATCCATGGGCGTATTGACGCCAGCGCAACACGGCTTTACGAAAGGTCGATCCTGCATCACTAACTTGATGTACGCAAACCACCAGGGGGTACGAGCTCTCAACGAACGGAAGGATGTTGATGTGGTGTACATCGACTTTAGTAAGGCGTTTGACAGAGTGAATCACGAGGTACTCCTTGGTAAACTGAGGACATACGGAATCGGTGGCACGTTACTTCAGTGGTTACACGAGTTTATTGTGGGACGAAGGTTTAGACTACCAGTCAATGACTACCTGACAGACTGGTTACCATTGACTAGTGGCGTGCCTCAAGGAACTGTACTTGGGCCAGTATTATTTCTTATTCATATCAACGATCTTCCGCAGCAGCTCCAGTCACCATGCGCCCTGTTTGCAGATGATTTGAAAATCTGGAGGATCATTGAGAACCACAACGACTGCGCTCGCCTCCAGCATGACTTAGAGCGACTGTCAACGTGGTCCACTGAAATGCAACTCCCTCTTAACGCAAGCAAGTCGGAATTCATCAGTATCACCAGACGTCCAGCCACTCGATCATACACCTTGGACGGCCAGTTGCTCCATCCCAACACATCTGTCAGAGACTTAGGAGTTCTCTCACGACATGATTTAAGATCACTAGAAAATACAGAGAAATTGTACCTTGCGGGACTTCGTAAGCTCTGGGCATTAAGACGCAGTTTCTCCACATGGTCCGAAGAAACCGTCCCTCGTCTATTCACCTCGCTCATTAGACCAATCCTTGAATACGGTGCCCCAGCTTATCATCCGATAACACAATGGGAAACTGCAAAGCTGGAGAAAATACAGCATATCGCAACTAGAATGATACTGAGTCTAAAAAAGCTTCCGGATGAAAAACGTTGTGAAAGGCTCGGACTTTACACACTATCCTATCGCCAAGTAAGAATTGACCTTAGTATGACCCATCGAGTAGTACACTTAAATCACTTCCCCATGCTGCGGCCAATATTTTACCTGCGGGAACTCTGTAACACCCGAGGACACCGTTACAAACTCAGGGTCAGCAACATGAACAAAGTATCACATCAGCTTTGTATCGAACGAAGAATACACTACCCGAAGGATTAATAGAGGCCGATTCTGTGAAGTGTTTTAAAACGCGTATGGACGATTATTTCGGAAACCTGTGCTTTAGTGAAACGATGCACATATAATGCCAAAAGAAGACATTGTATGCCCGGAAATAATAACACTAGTACAAATTCCTAACCGAACAAGGATGAACGATTAACGGACCAGACACAACTGCTGATGATTCACAACTAAATGTTTTTGATTTTTCGTAATTCGGTAGAGTTGTACAGAACCCTTTCTACTTGCTCTTAAATACAGTCTCAGTCTCAGATACAATCGGTCTAAGTTGCACTTTGTTCTTGTGCATTTCCCGTGACCCATACACCTGGGGAGTAGTGCTGCCACTTGGCTTCACACGGTTATAGATGTCACTAACAATCACACGATGAAGAAGAAGTATTTCAAGGTGGGCTGTTATGCTGGCTTCAACCTCGGTTACGTTCTCCACCTACTTAGGTCTTTCAAACTTGCTTGTGTCGTTAAGTATGGCACTCATTTCTGAGTGTACTCGGCTTTGTTTATGACTACTCCATAGCCCTTATCCGGATGACTCACAAGTACGCCCTTAATACGTAATTCGCGTAGCACCTGAAGCTGTGGCCTTCTAAGTGCGCAATCTTCACTCTCTGGCACGGTTTTCGTTGGCGATATCAGTCAGTTTGATTCTAAACCAAACGATGTCAGGACTGAATAGTTGAGGTGCCTTAACTTGATTAATATGGTTCTAAAACTGGACTTCTGTAAACAGCCCGTTCCACTATCTACAGGGAACGTGCAGATACCCGCGCAGTCTTGTGCCACATTCAGGAAGATCTATCGGCACTTGAATCCTGGTGCAAACTGTGGCAGATGTCCTTTTCCGTGGACAAGTGTAATATTCTGTCGTACAAATGCGAAGTTTCACCAGGCAGTCTATTATTACAAGGCACGTTTATATCACAGTGCAAAGTGATTTGCGACTTGGGTGTGCGGTATTCCACTACCTTCAACTTTTCGGAATATTGTGACTTCCAAGTTTCGAAAGCCATGAAGACTATTGGCTATATCTGTCATAACTTTCAACTCACAGAATCTCGTATCTGGCTTTACAAAACATATGTGTTACGTGGCATGGAATACTGCTCACTACTACAGTCGAATCTGCATAAATCTGACCAGCATGCTATTGAGAGGATACAGCGACGCTTTACAAAGAAGCTGTGCGGAAATGCCTCCAAGATGACCTACAGAGAGCGCAGTGAAAAACTTGGACTTGACCCAATTTGGCTACGGATAATGAAGATGAACTTGTGTTTCCTGTACAGAATAATTCACCATCACATGCACAATTATGCTAACTGTGTCCATATGGCCGTTAACACTAGATACGAGCTACGAAATAAGGAGACAACGGTCATGATTCCAAAGTTCAATACGCGAATTAGGGAGCGTTTCTTCTTAATACCCTGCTCAAAGCTTTGGAACAAACTTCCAAAAGCTTTCAGAACTTTTGCACATTGCGTTTGTTTAAGCTTCGATAAAAGGTCATTTAACCGTTCAAAATGTGATAATAATGTTTCGAACAGCACAGTCCTTAGATAACGCTTTTGAGAACGGAGTTAATGGCGCCTGAAAATGCATGTGGTCAAGTGCACAAGTGGTTATATTTTGTTGGCCCGCAACATGAAACTGCTGTACCATTATTTGATCCGTCCCTTCTGGGAACGGCTTCTCGCATCGTCGAGCCATATACAATTTATTTATTTATTTATTTATTTAATCAAGTCCGTATGACAGTGCTTCTGACTGTAACGCATCAACTTGTACGTCTGATAAATACACCACATACTTACTATGATCACGACTGATTGGCTCCTCCTCTTGGTTGTTTGTTAGTGAATTCTCCAACCGAGTTTAGGTTCACCTGCGGTCGCTATTAGCGCATGGAGTTTCCAAAAGTGCGCACCGCATTCTCAGCCTTAAGTTGTTTAAGCACCGCCTCACTTAGCCTCTAGTTCAAATCAAGTCTAGTCAAATCATGTTTCTACCCAAAAACTAACTTGTTTTCATGACTGTGGCATATGCGTCCAAGTGGTGCTTACAGGGACTTTTCGTGCTTCCTACCACCATATCAATTATTGCCAACTCCGTTAGGTAGTTTGCGTCAGCCAGTTAGTGGCACTCACTAACGACCAGGTCTGAAACACGGGCGCAAGAACGAGCAACGAAAATTTGTTAGTAATATACCCGGAACCGGGTTTCACAACAGTCCTTAAACGAAGTGCATGCTACCAGTAGATTGTTGGTGTATTAATTAAGGGATCTTAACAGCAATTTCCAATTCACTGTTGCATTCATCGTGGTGGGCGTCACTGCAAATCCGTCGTTGTGTGTGGCTCTCGACCATGACGCCGCAGGGTGCAAATATGCACGCACGCGTGCACGCGAGACCCACGCTACCAATGGAGCTTCGGATTGGTCGCCCACGTTCGATCATTGCGGTATAAGAGTGGCCACTCTCGTCTAAACGACTTAGGATCGCGTCCGTGGAATACTTGTCACAGCATGCCATTCGTCGCCGTGAGTCAGTGCTTGTGTTAGTTTACTTTGCCCCGTTATTAGCTTGTGTAAGATAATGGTCTGCGGTTTTCCAGCTGACAATTTCATCGCTACTTGCAGCACTGAGGTTCCAGGCGTAGTTTTGCTCCCTAGGCTCAGTCGGGATGCTACTGCCAGCGCAAAATTAACCACTAAGAAACTTGTTTCCGAATTTTGCCCCAATAACCATTACATGTCTGGCGACCGGAGAAGCCAAATAAGGTGTCAAACCTATGTGAAGGAAGTTCCACTTAGTAATATTTTGTGTCCGCCCCACTAGAGGGGGGGGGGGTTAAGGAAGCGGAGTGATAGAAGAAACGATTATCGCTTAAACTCTTTAGTGAAGCAATGTTAGTCCCAGTTCACTTGTCGCCGGTCTGTATTACATTCATTCAGAAGAATGTTGAGCAAGGTGACCGCTTATATATTGCTGTTTTAAATCTACTGAAGTCAAAACAGGTTTTATGAAACTGACTGGGGATATTTTAATCGCTTTGCATTAGCAGTGCGAATATACTGCGGCATGAGATTGATCTAAACTTAAAACCAAAAAGGGAAAGAGTAACGTGCATGTACGTCACTCAAGTGAACATTCACGTGTTGTATCGATAACTTGCTTGTGGTCCACAAGAAAACGGGCTAATTAGAGATGTTGTGTGCCTGAAGGGTGCCCTAAATTTGGAGCTGATAGAATATCGGGAGAGAGCCTTTGCATGCAGAGCATGAAAAGATAGTTTAAAACTTAATGCAAATTGTTGCATGTGCCGAAATGTCAAGTAACGAGGAACTAAACCAGACACGTTCTGGGCATTTTACTACATCTGGAGATGTGTATAATGGGATGCAAAATCAGTGTAAATTCTTTGCAGAAGACCAGAAAAATGATAAGGGGGCAGCATAGTTAGTGAGGAAAAATAGTAAATTAAGGAACAAGATCTCGAAAGTATTTTGTGTGTCACAGCAGAATATTATAATTTTCTTACGGAACGCCTCTTCCACATGGGTCAACCATGGTGAATTTTGAGGTAAAAAGAAGTACACCAACATACTTAAGTGGGTGAACTGGGCAAAGTGTGGTCGCTCAAGATCATAGGGCGAGATGTAGTCGTCAAAATCAGAACTTCGTCAATGTGGAGAAGAAAGTTATGGTTCGGTGTTTGGAAGCGTTGAGCATAAGGGTTTGGGACGACGAACACCGCTGAAGCTCATCCAGCCCGCTTTGGAGATTGGTACATTGTTTCTCTCAGTGCTGTTGCCTAGCAGTAAGAGACTAGCCACAGATCCGTAATAATGAGAGCATAACCCCAACTTACGATATGGAATCTCGCGTTGCATTTTGAATGTCATGTTCCGCGCGGTGTCCTTTCGTTATTACGTCCCGTTAAATGGATAAAACATATTTAGTGGAGCTTTTTTCATTGTTACCTTAGCGCTGTATATCAGTCGTCTGGCTACCGTGTGCTCACTCCTATGGAGGGAGTAGAAGGACTGGAAATATTTCAGTGTCACTGAGTTAATAAACATCATCCTACACGGTGCATTTATCATTTTGAATTTACTAGTATTCTTCGTAGGCAGTTAATTACTCCCTTTTTCCCACTTAGATGTAGTTTGGGCTTGGTCTGCGATTTTTGGGATTGCTTTTGGCAGATTGCTGCACGGTATAGTTTCTAGGCAAGTTAGTATTTACCAGGCTTCCATGGATGGCTATTATCGCATGCTATTGCTTTGGCATGCCAGATGGTAGTTTTATATGTGATAACTAGTGGATAATTCTTTATATTTGAGCTGATAACTCCAAAGCAGTTGCGTCTGAAAGTCATGTTTCTCCTTCCACATGCGTGTTCATATTTTTTACATGTAAAACTAAAAGTGTGTTCAGAATCGAGTGTTCAAAGGCACCGCCACGTCGGTCATACAGAGGTAGTACGGTATTTTTTAGGGGGTTACCTGGTTCATCAGCAATCAACGTGGAATCTACTAAGGGCGCCTGTTCTAGGGAAGCAACCACTGTAAACACCACCCTAGTAAATGTCTGCTCAATAAGCTCATCATACCTATAGTGTGACTCACTTGTTCAAATATCACAAGTTAGGCACTACTAGTCGTACCCAGAGTTCAGTTTGAATTTCTCTTTAAACGGTAATTAATGGTTACTTAACTGCAACACGTATGCCGATCAATTAGTACTCGCGATTCCACTGCTTACAATTCCATTCTATGATTGAGCTCCACGGTGACAGCAGTTGTGCACAAGTAAGCATGCTGAGTACATATGTGCTTCTTAACTGAATCACGAAAACGAACTTGGTGCTACTGTTCCGTAGTGACATACCCCTTTCTAATCGCACTCAAAGGATCGTTCCAGTATGGCTACGATGTGAATATCTCCGATTATTTGAACAGCTGTCTTTCGTTCGCCTTCCAGCACAGGACAAGTCCGATCAAAGCTTACAGATTCCGAGTTACTCGCATACCTGTTAGCCCATCTTCTTATCGACATCGGTAATGTCGACAACGTAGGTACCAGTCCTCCGAGATCTGGTTTTTGCGGAGTAACTGGCTCACATAAATAAATTTGATGTAGCTACCCAAATCCGGCTGACTATTATAACTGAGAATTGTATAGGAACCTCTGAGGTACCGTGAGAAATGTTTGGTTACTAAAAGTACATCGGTCCTGTGCATTAGCTAAAACACGGTACCCTAGCTAGCTAGGAAGGGATGGTTAGGTACAGAGTGATGTAATCGCGTACCGTCTTGTGAGCGTTTGATGATTCAGAAAGTATAATTTAACATGTACACCAATACCGCATCCATCACCTAAACGTACAAGGCTATACTTTTGTTGTGTTTTGGTAAACAGGCTCAGGTAAACCGGGGACTTGAAACATTTATTTAACTTAAGCAATTTGAATAACACTGTGAAGAATGGTATGTTCTCACGCAACGGTTTCAGTACTGATCCTGGGTAACGACGCAGGGAAATGCGCTCCGAAAGAAGAGAGATTTTCACACGTTCACAAGCATGCGTGCAACTTAGGTCAACAATATGACGCACCCACCGAATGGTCTGGGCGGGAGTTCATCACTCGAGAAAACAGCTACAGTTCTCTTCAGTACTTTGAATAACACAGTGAGAGGGCAAATGCTGTGTGCGTCTTCGCGCTGTATTGTTCGAATCCGGGGAATCTTCAGACTGCTACGTGTTCACTCTAGTGCACCGGTTATCGTTCAGCGAAGCGTGGAGTGAAGCAATGGTGGCAAGGAATACGGGATTACAGTAAAAGCGCATTTCCGCCACTTGTATCCAACTTCCTTCTTCAGTAAAATAATGGACATTTTCATCCTACATGGTGGGGTTTCAGTGTTTCGCCTCCTAACACAGACACCCCACGGTGGGTAATCCAACCCGGTTTTAACTCTGAAGAAAGTTCATTTTCTTCTTAATAATACGTAATATTTTGCGGCTGCGTGGAGAAGTTTCACTGTTCGAATGTTGCAGCCGGTGAACTTAATTTACTAGGGTTCTTCATAACGATTTTTATGACGTTGCTTTACCAAATCTGAGATACACCGATAGTAAAGAGTCGGTATTCCGCATGTAGATAAACCAATCCACATTACTCACCTCTGTACAGCAGCTGATGCTCCATTGTAAGAAATATCAATCATTATACTACGGGTTCTATATCACATTTGTTGGTTGTTTCGTCCCCGCTGCTGTCAGCCGAACAGCAGCGAATATAGCACACGATAAGCAAGCCAAGAATACATCCCATTGGGTTGTGGCGCAAACGTCAGCCCTAGTAACCAATCGTTTATCTCCGTGAAACTGGGTTTTCATGTGGTCTCACCAAGACAGTCTCCAGTTGCTTCATGAGTAGAATGTCTGGCTGATGAAGTATCTAATGAGCTGAACGCATAGGCTTTGCATACGCAGATATAACTGAAGACGGCTTGGTGGATATCGTTCGGTCCCCGCTCACTTCAACCGGGTTAGTTCGGAGGCCAGGAAAATAGTCGTATCCCGTGGGTTTGTTTGTGGTAAACTACGAAGAGAAATTCACTCAGCATAGTATCATGAGGCTGAGTTTGGTCCAGTACAGCGAGTAGGTTTGCATTCAAAAAGCCGTAGACAGTATGCCATATTAGCTTAGGATCCGTTGTTAGATATGGGGTAATCCGCTTCAGTTAAGTTCCTGTAACACATTCCACATGAGATTGAAAAGTCGGGAATGCTTAACTTTGCTAATCTATTTCCACAGCAACAGAGCATTTAAATGATTTGATTCAGGATGGGGTGTGTAAGGTTGCACTGCCCAGTATTTGTCGGTATGGAGAGGTTGGCTCATGGAACCCGCTGCATTTAGGGGCTGGTAATGTGCTTTCATTCCGAGATCATCATTTTTTCCATGTTAATAATCATTTTTACTAACTCAAAGTGTGCAAAGTATATTTCAGTGAACAAAGTTGAACTATCCAACCCCATGGGTCCCCAGTCAGTTGGCCTCTGTTACTTCACAGGCGAAAGTAAAGGTGTGAATGCCTATACCCACATCACTTAGGTACGTTAAGCCTAGATAAACCACACTATTAGTCCACACTAGCGGCATCCTCATTGATCTTCAGATTTTGTTTTGAAGTCAGCGCTTGCATTCCTCCGTTTGAAGTGACTCCGTGACATGCATCTACCTCTCCAGAGTTCACTGGTCGTTGTTTTCTCACCCACTTCGGAAAGTGATTAGCATTTTCTCCAACTGGCTAGTGTGTACGTTGTACTAATTGCTTTCTAAATCTTCGCTGTTCGCTAATAAGAAGATATGTCCATTCATGTAAGGATTGGAACGCTCATTTTAAGGCAATCTTGTGTATGGATTACGACGCGCAATCCTAATGTGGACCGCGTTTCACACTGAAGTGCAGCTTGGTCAACTTGGTATCGGGACTGAAATTGAACCAGATGGATGTTGGGTATTGCT